TGGGTGGGTGGGGGGTCTTCAGAAACAGTGATAGTAACTGGATTCTAGGTTTCAACATGTCCATTCCTCATGCAACTAATATCTACATGGAAGGCCTTGCCCTTTTACATGGTCTAAAATTAGCCATACAACAAAATAGCATGCCATTAGTGGTTGAAACAGACCACAATGTTCTAGTCAACACGCTTACTAATGACAATTGACAATACCAAAATTTGATTACTGATTGATTGTAGATGGATGCTTACTAGAGCAGGGGAGTCACAAGTCATTCACGTCTTCAGGGAAGCTAATGGTATGGCTGATCTTTTGGTCAAGCATGGAAACAACTCGAACTTTTTTGGAAATCCTATGTTGTACTTCACCCCGCCCCCTTTTATTGTCTCTACTTTTGAACTGGACAAGCTAGGAACCTTGTGTCCTAGAATAGTCCCAACTTGTAATAGCTTTGACAGAATATTAATCTTATGAAATTATGATATAATATATCATATTAATTTAATAAATATTAGTTGTATTTTATTATTTAATATAGTGTGCAGAAATATAATACAATCTGTAAAAAATTAAAGGATACACATCATATAGTAATCAAATAAATTGTTTGTTCCTTTTTATTTTTATTATTGAATTAGCAAGAACTTAGTACTATGGATACTTTTCTTGAGTATTATTTATTTATCTTTTATTTTTTAATTAATTCAAAATGTAAATATCATTACATTATCTCCATCCCCCTCTTTTCGTACATTTCTTTCTACTGTAGTACTTATTTGATTAGTTTTTAAATTTTATATTTTATTAAAATTTTAAATAATGTAATATTACATTCCTTTCATTTCTTTATTTTAAAACAATTTTAAAATTTGAAACTATTCCCCAATTTGAATGGATATTTTTATTATATATTTTAAATTTTTTATTATATCCAATTTTTTTGTTTTATTTTATTTTAAAATATTTGTAAAACTCCAACTTGAAACTACTTCCCAATTTGAATGAATAGTTTTTTTATTATTATAGCTAATTGTAAGATATCTTTATTGATAAATTCAAATAGAGTAACCAATTAATTCAAAATTTAAAATTCAAATATTTTTTTAGTTAGAAAGGGAGTAACCAAAACTACACCCAAACTTGAATAGGTAGTTTTTTTGTTTTTGTTTTTTAATATTTTCATCTTTTACTTTAGCTAATTTAAGTTTTCTTATTTTTTCTTTTTTAATTTTAAAATAATTTTAAAACTCCAACTTGAAACTATTTCCCATTTGAATGCCACTTGAAAAATATTTTGCTTAACAATGCTACTTGACTTTTTGTATTTTTAATTTGAATTGAAAGTTTTTTTATTTCATTATTTTCTTTTTTTATTTTAAAATAATTTTAAAACTCCAACTTGAAACTACTCCCAATTTGAATAGGTATTTCTTTTATTTAAATATTTCCGCGTTTTATTATGGCTAATTTTATTTTTTTCATTTGTTTTTTTTTAATTTTAAAATATTTTTAAAGCTCCATTTAGAAACTACTCCCCAATTTGAATGGGTAGTGTTTTTTTTTCCCGTTTCATTATATCTAATTATAAGATGTTTATATTTATTAATACAAACAGAGTAACCAATTAATTCAACATTTTAAATTCAAAAGATTTTTTTACTTAGAAAGGCAGTTTATTGTCTTAAAATTCCAACTTGAAACTATTCCCAAATTTGGATTGGCAATTTTTTTAATTTTTTTAATTTTTTTTTTTATTTAAATTTTTTTTAAAATGCCAACTTTGTTGGAGATTTGTCCTAAAAATCTATACTTGACATCTTATGATTATACCACTTGCCATCATATAATTATTTACTTCTCTTTTTGTGTGTGTATATATATATATATATATATATATATATATATATATATATAAAGACTACTATATTAGAAAGAAATTTCTCCTCAATTTAATTTGGCAACTTTTATTTCTTTATTTCTGTTTTTTATTTTAAAACTCCAAATTGAAATCACACCCCAATTTGAATTGCCATTTTTTATTTCTTTATTTTTGTTTTTTATTTTAAAATAATTTCAAAATTCCAAATTGAAACTATTCCCCAACTTGAATAGGTATTTTTTTTAATTAATATTTTCATTTTTTTATTATAGCTAATTTAATTTTTTCTTATTTTTCGTTTTTTTATATTTTAAAATAACTTTAAAACTCCAACTTGAAACTACTCCCCAATTTGAATGAATATTTATTTTTTTTATATTTTCGTTTTTTTAATATAGCTAATTATAATACATCTATATTTATTAATTCAAATAGAGTAAATAATTAGTTCAAAATTTAAAAAGATTTTTTTAGTTAAAAATATAGTTTATTTTGTCTTAACAATGCCACTTGGCTTTTTGTGGTTATGCCATTTGTTTTAATAATGTGCATTTGCCTCTCCTCTCATTTGAAATTCAAAAGATTTTTTTACTTAAAAAGACAGTTTATTTGTCTTAAAATTCCAACTTGAAACTACTCCCAAATTTGAATTGGCAATTTTTTTTATTTTGTTTTTTATTTAAAAATAATTTTAAAACGCCAACTTTGTTGGAGATTTGTCCTAAAATCTATACTTGGCATCTTATGGTTATACCACTTGGCATCATATAATTATTTATTTCTCCCTTTTTTTTGTGTGTATATATATATATATACACACACATACATATATATAAAGACTACTATATTAGAAAGAAATTTCTCCTCAATTTAAATTGGCAACTTTTATTTCTTTATTTCTGTTTTTTATTTTAAAATAATTTTAAAACTCCAAATTGAAATCACACCCCAATTTGAATCGCCATTTTTTTATTTCTTTATTTTTTTTTAAAAAATAATTTCAAAACTCCAAATTGAAACTATTCCCTAACTTGAATAGGTAGTTTTTTAATTAATATTTTCATTTATTTTATTGTAGCTAATTTAATTTTTTCTTATTTTTCATTTTTTCTTTAATTTTAAACTAACTTTAAAGCTCCAACTTGAAACTGCTCCCCAATTTGATTGGGTAGTTATTTTTTTATATTTTCGTTTTTTAATATAGCTAATTATAATACATCTATATTTATTAATTCAAATAGAGTAACTAGTTAATTCAAAATTTAAAAAGGTTTTTTTTAGTTAAAAAGGTAGTTTATTTTGTCTTAACAATGCCACTTGGCTTTATATGGCTATGATATTTGTGTGCCTCTCCTTTTATTATATTTATTTATTATTATTATTATATATAGATTTTCAGTTCCTAATCGTCAAAATTAAGTCGGGCCAAATTGATTTATGTTTAAGATGTTGCTCTCATCATCAGGAGTTTCTTCTAAAAAAATGAACTTCGATTATGATTTAGGGCTTGCAATTGTCTCAAAGAGGGGTTTGATTCTTCTCAGAACTTAAACGATGATAAATCAAAGTTTTTCTCTCCACCGAGGTATGGGGTGGAATAGATGGACCGTACATCTTAATCAGAAATTTAGGGTTCGAATTCTAAGAATATTAAAGTTCCTGGAGGGACAAGTTTTCCCTTTAACGGACCATATGCGTTACAAATCTGGATAATGTGTGTTAGGATACAAATCTGGATTAGTTAGGATAGTGTGTTCAAAATAGTCTTTCTTGAAATCTCAATTGGTTCCTTTGTGAATCCAGTGAAAGTTGAATGGTAAGGTGTGCAAATTTTCATGGAGGAAAACCGAAGGATAAACTGTACAAAGTGGGAGTTTTATGATTACTGAAAGTTAAGCCTTTGAGCTGGGAATTTCAACAGGGAAATCCAAATTCTCAAGTTGGGTTCTGGGTCAAACTCGGGTTTTTAATTAGGTTAGCTCATTTGGCTTTTTAATTTTTCTGCATTGACTCCATGATGCAACTTGTCATTTATTTTTCATTAAAAGAAAAATCATGTCTTTTCTTAATACAAATTGCATGCACTTGACCGTCACTTTCAGTAATTTTGGTATCTTGATCTAGAGAAGAAAGTGCCTCTTAGGAATTGCCAAATGTATTCTTGAACAAAGTACTTATCTTTCAGGAAAATTCTTCCCTCTTATAGAAATCAAAGCACTGGTCAGGCTGAGCTAGATTACACTTTAAATATGATGATATTTCAAAATAATGCAAATTGGATAGGGAGAATGTAAATTAGAAGTCTTTTCCATGGATTTTATTTGCTTGCTAAGACAATACATAAATGATGACTTATGACGTAATTTCTGGGAATTAACTATAAGAATGAGTAGCTCCTTACATGGGGTTGAACAAGTCAAGTCAATGGTTTTTTTTTTTTTTTTTTTTTCTCTTAGTAGGTAAATGATGCATCTTTATCTGTCTTTTGTCTGTATTACAAGAGGAAAGTCCACCCTTGAATATGAGTAGGTTGAACTGTTAATTAAGTTTACTTAGAATATGGAAATACAGCTCATCGACCTATATAATTGTGTACTGCAACATCCTTTATATACATATACACACACGCATGCCTTCTTCAACAATATTGTGCAGGTTCTGTTATGCACTTGTCCTATATTGTGCTTAACTATTTTTTGTTTGAGACGGTGATACAAGTTATGAGACAAGAATGGTTTACAGAATCTTATGTAATTATTCCTACTTCCCAAATTTTTCGAGTTACGTCTGATTATCAAGTTGCATAGCAGGTTTTCAATCCATGGCATGCTGAACTCTTTACAGCTTGCCAATGCGCACCTAACAGAGACGGCTTTGGGATAATTCCTGCTGTTCCTTACAGTTATTTCATCAATTTGTTTTAGTTTTTTACAAAGAAATGTTATGCTGGTAATACCTTCTCACTCATGAGATGATAACATGTGGTTTTTGAATTTCTTTGTTGTTGTAGCCATTACTTGGGCCAATTTTCCCGTGCATTATGCTCTGTGGATGTTGATGGTGTATTTGACTGATGTATGGAAGCTCAAACTCACAGATGCAGCTGCAATTGTCAATGTCTTCCTTGGTTTCCAAGCAATCCCACAGTCATTCTTGCTGTTTTCTGCTCATGGTCTATTCGGCAATTATCCAGTGCTATTGGGTTCTATATTCGCCTGTTGTGTGGTACATTTTTCTTTGTTAAATTATTTAATTCCTGCACTCTCCTCTCTAATTTGGAATATTTACCCAATTCACAATCGAGCTCTTGGTCCTGTTAGCTTGAGTTAGTTTGCACCCTCTTTCCTAACACTTCATTGCTTAGAAACACATTTGAAGGAAGTATGGTCAAGCTGCTCGTCTGCAGTGATTTCTGTCCATAGGTCTTACAACAAACTAATGGAGAAAGATATCCCTTAACTGTCGCAGTAATATATCCTTGCTGATGTATAATATTTTGATTTTCTGTTGTTTGTATTGCTAAATTGGTACTAATTAGTATAACTCAATCCTTGTGCATTGCCAAAGAAATTTCAAGGCCAATTGTAACCGTTAGGATAAAGATTAACTCGGAGATAACCTAGACCTCTTGAAGCTCAAGGCTGAAATATCTAGGACTGACTCTGATTTGCTAGTTACATCTTGTTGTGGACTAAATCTCTTCAAATTTGTGTAAATATTAATCTGCTGCAATTTAGGTATCTGTTGCTTCTGTTTTACCTTGTGAAAAAGGGTGGGTGTCTCAAGTTTCACAATCTAATAATTTCCCATGATAATTTTCTTCCTGTTTATGTCCATGCATCACGTCATCAATTTGTGTCATACATTTCCAATTACTAAGATCTCTTTCCTGAACCTCTAATATATTTGATGCAATTCTGTCCAAGACACCTGAAAGAAACTGGTTAAATCTCTACAAAACTCTTGATGCTTAGATTTCATCCTCTTGTGGTGCGAGCTCTAGAATGGCCAAAGCTAAAAATGAATATGATAGATTTAATTTTTTAAATTAAGTCCTCAACAAGAGAGGTTGTGAGTTCGAGTCTCCCCAAGAGTAAGGTGGTAAGTTTTTGGAGGGAAGGATGCCGAGGGTCTATTTGGAAATAACCTCTCTACCCCAGGGTAGGGGTAAGGTCTGCGTACATACTACCCTCCCCAGACCTCACTAAGTGGGATTATACTGGGTTGTTGTTGTTGTAAGTCCTCAACATGCCCCCTCGTGTGCAGGCCTGATTCTTTTTCATAGGCCAAGCACGTGAAAATTCTTTTTGATAATGGGTGGCGATGAGACTCGAACCCAAGACCTCTGCCTGAGCTTATACATTGTTGAATTTGTGTGAGCATCTGACCGTTTAAGTTGTTAGAAAGGGAACACTTTTTTTTATTATGTCCTCAGCAAAACGGAAATTCACTATCTATTAAGACTGAGTCTCTTTTTGTGCTAAATTAGGATTTCTTTCCAACAGTACTAACTTAAAACTTTGACGCTTCAATTTACTAAACCAGAGAATCTGTTAGTGCGACCCATGAACATTTTTAATGCTTAGAACTCTTATCCAAATTTCTTGACCTTCTCTTACTGATTTTTACAATCCAAGAACTCTTACCCAAAATGGGGTATAATTTGAAATTCACTTTCAGTTAAGTCTTGAAAGTTTCTTGTATGTAGGGCATGGGTTTTTTAACAATGTCGACACCGCCAGTCCTTGCTAAGGCTACTGGAACGTGCAGTGCTTATCAGCCTGAATGCATTGGCGAAGGCCAGCGCATACTCTTCTACATAGCGTTGGCTCTGTCTGCTCTTGGGGCAGCTGGTCAAGCAGTAAGCTTTCCCTCTTTCCTAGTTGAGCAACTTGGAGAAAATGCTAACCCGCCTTCCATCTGGTTTCTGCAATGTGTTGCGGTGATTCTGTTCAAAGCTGCTGCTGTTTTGGGATTTTCATACATATCACCATGGTCACTTTGGTTTGGTGTCCCAGCAATATGTTACACAGTGGCAGCCTTTATTTTCTTGAGCGGATCTTGTACCTATAAATATGTTAAACCAGAAGGTAGCCCTATCACTACTTTATTCCGGGTCTTAGCAGCGTCTATCTCCAAGTTATTCTATCAACTGCCAACAGATGCGTCCCAGCTGTATAACGTATCTGACCGTAATAGACAATACGTGCCTCACACCAATGGCCTGAGGTCCTCTCTCGCTCTCTCATTGTCTGTGATTTCCTCCATTTGTGTTTGCCTTACACTTGAGGAATATCTCAAGTTTCAGTCCATGTCTCTTTATTTTATTTTCCATCTTAGATTTTAAATATCTTTTCTGCTACCCATCTCTACCCTTGTCCATTGTGAATGTGATCTAGTACAGACTTGATGTCACAAGTCATTAGGATCCTCCTCGCCTTTTTCTCAATTGCTGTCTATCATGGATTAGTGTATTTATATTAAAGAATTGTACTAACACAAACTATTGTGCAAAACTCAATTCAGGTTTCTAGACAAGGCTGCAATTATCTTGCCCGGCCAGACTCTGGAGCAGCAACTCAGGAATAGATGGAGGCTTTGCAGCATTGCTGAGATTGAAGTTACTAAATTTGCAATTCGCACATTCCCTATGTCAATGACCTTCATTCTTGGGGGGGGGTTATGACTTCTTTGTCGTATACCTACTTTCTGGAGCAAGCAAAGACTATGAACAACAAGGTTGGAAACCTAAGAATTCCCCTAGCTGTATTCCTATGGTTCCGGTTAGAAGCAAGAGAACAATTTCCAAAACTGTATCACATACTTGTGAATTGGCGATGGGGTTCAGACGCAAAACCATCAGCTCCTAGAGTGGAGGTTGCAGTATCCATCATTTTGGGTGTATTATGCACTATTACTGCTGCAAAAGTGGAGTCAAGAAGACTCGCTGCGGTAAAGAGCTATGGTTTAGCAGGCGAGACAGATGAAAAAATTCCAATGACCGTGTTCTGGCTGCTTCCACAGTATCTCCTTCTTGGGGCAGTAGACGGGATGTTTGCAAAGAGCTTTAATAATTACTACAGTAATTACTTTGAGCCCATATCTGCGTCATACATGCTCAGTGGCTGCAATCTGATGCACGGGTTAGGATATATGAGCAACATTTTTTTAGTGTACATAGTGAGTAAGGTTAGTCGGAGGGGAAATAAACCAAGTTGGTTTCAGGACACCCTGAATAAGAGTCGACTTGATAAGTATTACTGGACTCTGTCGTGGCTATTAGCTATTGCATTTATATTGTTTTCTGTGATTAGTCTGTGGTATGCATACAGGCGATCAAAAGAAGAAGCACGAACAGTGTACATCGAACGAAGTGTTACCCGGATTGGGGGTGAAACAATTTATGAGATCACATATAGAGTAGGAAACAGGCGCAATAACGGTACCATCATTGACATGTTTCCTTCTTTTGGGTAATGATATGTTTATAGGGAATGATGGTGGTTGTAACACATAATCTGCTGAAGCGCATTCCATATCTTGTATAGTAAAGAACTACTACCTTTTTTAATCGTATGCATCCTTCCTTTGGTTAAAACAAAGAGTTGATTGCACTTTCCTGTATTTCATTAACTTTCTTTATATACATGTCTCTGTAAACTTACACTTTCAAGAAGTTTTTTCTACTAATGTTTTTGGAATTTTCCAGGTCTTTGAGGGCACTTATAAGTGGAAACTCTTGTTACAGTTAAAATACTCGCAAATCTTTCGGCAAAAAGTAACCGCAAATTAAAAGCAAGTTTTTCTTTTTCTTATGCATTTCATAGTCCTCAAAATTAACTCCCCGCAAATTTATTTATGTTTCAGATGCCATGTTCAATCAAAGTCCTTTTTTCTTATCATATATTGTTAGGTGTTGTCCTGAATTTTTTATCATATTTGGTTTTCTATTTCTTGAAGGAAGGATAACATATTTACCATAATGATTTTATCTTTTAGGAAAAGGAAAATATAATTCTTCCATATTTTTGAGTATGAAAGAAGTATATTTTTCTTTTCCTAAAAGGTAAAATCAATTATGGTAAATGTGTTGTCTTTCCTTCAAGGAATAGGAAAACCAAATATGACAAGGAAATCAGATCAAACACCTAATAATTCTCCCTTTTGGCTTGAATTTTCTGGCGAAATAAATTTGATCTACCTTCTTGACATAACTTTTAACAGGTCTCATCTCCACCACAAAATTTGTCTCAACATGAGTAGCACTGCGGTCAAATTTCTCAGAAAAAAAGTATGATTACCGTCAAATAGGTTGCGGCTAGAACTAAACTCGCCTAGATGAACTTCGCTCTGATACCACCTTTTAGGATCGAAATAATCAAGTTTTATGCGGAAGCTAGTAAAACAAATCTTGAATGACGATAAATCAGATAACAAAAGAGAAATATATCAAAGGAGACACAAACATTTAACGTGGTTTGGATACATATGGTATTGAGACTAAGGGTGGTAAGTGGGTCGGGTCAGGCACGGGACCGTGGGCTAAACGAGATGGGATAGTTTGGCCCGCTAGATGTGGGCTCGTGCCGGTCTCGTGGGTCAGTTTTTAGTTAGGAAACGTTAGGACCGGGCCCGTTTGGCCCGCCAAGAGGCCGGGACCGAACCAGTCCCTTGGCGGGCCAAATGTGCCCAACAAATATTTAAAAAAAAGAGTCATTGAGAGTTTAAAAAATAGCCGTTGGGTATTTAAAAAATAGCCTTTTAACCCCTTCCCCCCCAAACTTAATTTTAACCCCAAACTTTTTATTATTACACTTTTCTCTATTTTCTATTATAAATACCCTCTCATTCTTTCATTTTCTTACAAAATCAATATCGATCTATCAAAATCTCTCTCTAGTTTTCTTCTATACTTGCTACAATTGTTTACTTTATCAAAAAAAAAAAAGTGAAAAAATTATGATGTTGCTACTATTGCTTACTTTATTCCAAAAAAATAGTTAAAAATATTGAAGTTGTTACAATTTGTGAAAAAACTGTGAAGATGGTGAATTGGAGTCTTCAAGTCTTCAACGATAATCAATTTTCAACAAGTTGTTCATTAATTCGGTAAACTCATTTCAACTCTTAAGTCCTAATATTATAGTTTTATCTGTTTTATTTATCTGCTATTACTTGATTAATTAAGACGTCTTCCTTAAGAAATAGTTTTGGTAAAAGTAAGAATAATGAAAAATCTAAGACTGGCGAATCTGGTGGTACTGTTGTTCCTCCTCCCCTGCCCACGAATCCCAGAACCAAACCCTATACCCGTCCTACACCTGCTATTTTTGATACCGATAATAATTTATTACAATTTAGTGACACTGAATTTGCCATAATATTGCACCCGGCATACTCTTCTACACCGGGTTGGCTTTGTTTGCTCTTGGAGGATCTCATCAAACAGTAAGCATAAGCTCTTTCATAAATGATCAACTTGGAGAAGATTCTATCAGGCTAGACATCTGGTCTCTGCAACGTTGCGCGGTGATGCTGTTCAAAGCTTCTGCTGTTTTAGGATTTTCATACATATCACCGTGGTCACTTTGGTTTGGTATCACAACAATATGTTACACGGTTGCAGCCTTTATTTTCTTGAGCGAATCTTGTACCTATAAATATGTTAAACCAGAAGGTAGCCCTATCACTACTATATTTCGGGTCTTTGCAGCGTCTATCTCCAAGTTATTCTATCGACTGCCTGCAGATGTCTCGCAGCTATATAACGTATCTGACCGTTGTAGAGAATACCTGCCTCAAACCAATGGCCTGAGGTCCTCTCTCTCTCTCTCTCTCTCTCTCTCTCTCATTGTCTGTGTTTTGCTCCATTTGTGTTTAGTATCTCAAGTTTCAGTACCTGATTCTTTATTTTGTTTGCCATCTTAGATTTTAACGATCTTTTGCTACTTGTCCATTGTGAACTGGTGAGATCAACTGGAGACTCAGTTATCACAAGGCAATAGGATCCTCGTCGTCTTTTCCTTGATTGCAGTCTATCATGGATTAGTGAGGGAGGAAATTGTACTAACGCAAGTTATTGTGCAAAACTCAATTCAGGTGTCTAGACAAGGCTGCAATTATTTTGCCTGATCAGACTTTAGAGCAGCAACTGAGAAATAGATGGAAGCTTTGCAGCATTTCTGAGGTTGAAGTTACAAAAAATAGCAATTCGCACATTCCCACTGTCTTTGACCTACATTCTAGGTGGGGTTATGACTTCTTTGTCATATACCTACTTTCTAGAGCAAGCAAAGACTATGAACAATAAGGTCGGACACCTAAGAATTCCTCTGGCAGTCTTCCTATGGTTCCAACTAGAAACAAGAGCACAATTTCCAAAACTATATCACAAATTTGTGAAGTGGCTATGGGGTTCAGGAGAAAGACTATCAGCGCCCAGAATGGGGGTGGCAGTATCTATCATTTTGGCGGTATTATGCGCTATTACGGCTGCAAAAGTGGAGTCAAGAAGACTCACTGTGGTAAAGGACTATGGTTTAGCAGGCGAGTCTGACAAAAAAATTCCAATGAGTGTGTTCTGGCTGCTTCCACAGTATCTCCTTCTAGGGACAGTAGAGGGGATGCACGAGAAGAGCTTGGGAAAGTACTACAGTAGTTACTTTGAGAACACATCTACCCAGTACATGCTCGCTGCCTGCTGCGTGATGCACGGGTTAGGATGTATAAGCAACATTTTGTTAGTGTACATAGTGAGTAAGGTTAGCCAGAGGGGAAATAAAGTAAGTTGGTTTCAGGATTCCTTGAATAAGAGTCGAGTTGATAAGTATTACTGGACTTTGTCCGGGCTATTAGCCATTGCATTTGTTTTGTTTGTTGTCTGGTATGCATTCAGGGGATCAAAAGAAGAACCACAAATAGTAGACATTGAAAAAACAGTTATCCAGACAGTATACTTTGAAGAAACAATTACTCAGATGGGGAGTCATAAAATAATTTATCAGACAATGTTAGATAAATGCATTAAGAACTGCAACAGTCCAAGTGTTGTGCAAAACTGTCTAGCTGTTTGTTTCTATGTAATCCCTACTTATCAGGAGTTTGATTTTTACTTTCAGTTAAGATTGTAAACTCTATTTACATGTGTGAAGTTTTAATGTCATAATGTAATTTGCTTTCAATATCAATTTTCTGGTATCTCAGACTTTTACAACTGTTCAACTTAATTAACAGGAAGTAAACCAAATTTTTGTGGATTAACTTCATGGATAATCACTCAACTTTCACTTTATTGTACTAGAATCACCTACACTATTTTTTGTAGCGCGAAAATCACTTAACTTTAACTACTGCTGAAATCTACGTGATCTGCCATCGAAGAAGGAGCAATGAACTCGATGCTACTTCTATGGAGTTACAAAGCATGTGAGTGAATGAGCTAAAGAGAGGATTATCTGAAAATGATAACTGCTGCATCTATTCATTTACAGTACGAGATATATGTACATGTGATATAGCTAGCTAGCTCCACTAATGCTTAACTAACTAACAGGCTGGATCCGTTAATTTATAGTTGGCAGCTAACTGAATAACTACCTAACTAACATAACTACCTAGCTAACACTATCACTTCATAATACTTCCCCTTAAGCTGCAGGGTGTAAAATGTTAATCACACCAAGCTTGCGTTAGATATGATTGTGTTGAGCCTGACTTAGTCCTTTGGTAAGCAGGTCAGCCAGCTGATCCTTTATGTTCGCATAGATTGTCTGCACAATTCCATCTTTAGTCTTGTCTCTGATGATGTGGCAATCTATCTAGATATGCTTAGTACGTTCATAAAAAATAGGATTAGCTGCAACTTGCATAGCCGACTTGTTGTTACTCATAACTGCAATAGGTGTCTTAACATCCACTCCCAGCTCTTTAAACAGGCCTAACAGCCAAGTAACCTCTGCTACAGCTGAAATCATGCTTCTATACTCAGCTTCTACTGAACTCCTAGACACTGTCTGTTGTTTTTTTTTATTTCCATGAGATTAAGAATTCATCAAATTTGATCACATTACCTGTGACAGATTGTTGATACCCAATTTTTCTCAATATTATTTTCAAAAATGCATGTATATCTTCAAAACAATGCATGTGCATCAATCAATATTTTTCCATAATTTCTGCATTTTTAAAGGATTTTAAATTAATCCTAGCATTTTTATTATATAAATAATTACTAATTGCATCACAAAAGGTTTTATAATAATTTTATTGCTTAATTTTTATTTTTTTATATTTATATTAAGCTTTAATTATCTTATGCATAACCCTATTTACATCTGTAGGCTATAATTGCAATAACTTTGCAATAATAGCCCATATGTGTATAATTACTTTATTTTGCACGAAAATGACCTTTTATATTTCTATAATAAGAAGTAATTATTTTAAATTATTTTTATGCATCAATAGAATTTTATCATTTATTAGCTATTTTTATAAATTATTTTATCAAATTAACTGGGCATTTAACAAATAGCCTCTTTTAATTTAATTTAATTTCGGACCTGGCCCAAA